TTAATTGTGTTAATTGTGTTTTCATCATGTTTTTAATTCTTTAAGACTCAATGAGTATCATCATTAAACTACAAAACTTAATAAGTTCTTAATAGGTCTCATAACTTAAACTAATATTAAAATTAATAATTAAATAATGCTTATGATACACACTTGAATTCATTGATGTCGATGCTCTTACTCAATCAAAGACGCTTTATTTTAAGATTTATTTTTTTCTAAAAATATAATTTGATTGAGTGTTTCAAGGCTGTCACTGGATTCATGATCAATTTGAAACATAGTTGAGTTCGAGAGACAAGATTATGAATTAAGATAATGGACTGTCTCCCTTACACAAGAGCTATGGCTATATGATCAAGTTGTTTATTGTATGGATACGAATATGATGATTAACGCTAGATCATGGGACGATTTAATGTACGGGGAATCTTAAAGTGGTACGTTTTCAGACAAAAGATCTTTGTGGAATTTGATTCATTGAACCTCGTCTTAGAGTGCTGTTGTATAATTGATCAATTGAAATGTGTTTTATCTGGTTTAGCTCATTGTATTAGAGGTTAACCGGATGATATCAAGTGGTTTAGTTCGGGTATGAAGCTAAAGGGAGGGGTTTGCTACAAGAGAGAGACTTTATCAAATGGAGGGTTTGCTTTTCCCTTTTATAAAAAGTGTTGAGTATAAAAGTTTTCTTTCATGCTCATGGGTCTTGTGAGAGCTACGAGTTTTGTATAATCAGATAGTGAATTTCTCAATCATCTAGTGGATAAGTAGGGATTACTCACATCGAGTATCTTGAACTCGTAAAACTACCTCGTCCAAGGTTATTCGTTGTTGCATCTTGATGTTTTTCCAAGTAACAAACCAGATCGATTCATAACATTTGGACAAAAAAAAAACCAGATCGATCCAAGTTTCGCATTTCCTAAATTGATTATCGTAGAAGTTGAATGTTCAATTCTCAATAATTAGTATCAAAGCACAGAGTTATAGGTGTGATGTCTCACTAACCTTGGCAATTTTGGAATGAAAATTTTCTGATGAAGTTCGACTATCTGCTCTTAATTTCACTTTCTTAAATTGAAAAAAGTGATATTTTATGGACCTTTAATTCAAAATTAATCGGCAATAAGTACACAGAAATGTTTTATCATTAATTTTATTAAGAAAATTCATAACCTAATGCTGAATTGCTGATTAAGATTAGGATGGGAGGTTCATTGTTTTGTCCCCTGATTCACCCCCAATCAAAGATAATTTACAAGAAAGTTTAACTTGATGAAGTGCTTCAAGGCTGGCAATGGATTCATGATCAAATTGAAAACATTGTTGAATAAGAGAGACAAAATTATGAGTTAAGATTATGGCTTGTCTCCATTACAAGAGCCATGATAAAGTTGTTTATTTAGAGAAAGAAAAAGATGTAATGGGACGAATTAATGTACGGGGAAATCTTAGTGGTACGTTTCAGACAAAAGATCTTCATAGATTTTGATACATTGAACCTCCTCTCAAAGTCAATCCACACATGCTTCTTCTTCTGTATGTAGAGTAGAAGTGCTAGAACCAATTCAAAACAAGGCCTGACAAAATAGGCCCAAATCTTACAAAATGGAAACATATCCATCAATTATTGGGCCTATTTAGAATATAGTTAAAGCCCATGTAAAAAAGACTATGACAATTAAATGATTACGTACAAATCAAAGATTCTGATTCGAGTCAAACTTTGTGACCTGCGACTGCGATTGCAACATCACAATCACGTTTGTCTTTTTCTTTTGGTCTTCTCTTTTTATCAAACTCCAAATTTTTGGACTTGTTCACCATTCTTCTCCAAAAACAAAAAACCCAATCTTTTCTCCAAATGCCTCAGTTCTTCTCCTCTCGTTTCCTCTTCTTCTCCACCACCATTCCTTTACTCATTTCCATCGTTCTCTATCGACTCGATACATTTGACCCATCTCCGATTCCTTCCGAGGCTTACGATCCTCCCACCACCTTCACCTCGCCGCTTTACAACGACAAATTACTCACCGGAGCTGAGTTTATCGGCGTCGGGAATCTCGATAAGCCCGAGGATATCATCTACCACCGAGACTCAGGTCTCATCTATACTGGATGTGTTGATGGATGGGTGAAACGAGTCAGTCTCCTCGAGTCAGTAAATGACTCAGTTGTTGAAGATTGGGTCAATACCGGTGGTAGACCGCTCGGTATCGCTTTCGGACTTCACGGTGAAGTTATCGTCGCAGATGCACACAAGGTTTGGTTCTTTCTTGCGTGATTTTATCAAAATCCAATTTTTAAAATAACTCAGAATCAAGAGATGATTTTTTAGTGTGTGTGTGTTTAGGGGCTTTTGAATATAAGTAGTGACGGGAAGAAGATTGAATTGTTGACTGATGAAGCGGAAGGAGTGAAGTTCAAGATCACTGATGCAGTTGATGTTGCAGATAATGGAGTTTTGTATTTCACTGATGCTTCTTATAAATACAATCTTCTTGATTTCACATTTGATGTCTTAGAAGGCAAACCACATGGTCGTCTCATGAGCTTTGATCCCGTTACACGCACCACTCGTGTCCTTCTCAAAGATCTTTACTTTGCTAATGGCGTCTCTATGTCTCCTGATCAAACCCATCTCGTATTCTGCGAAACACTCATG